ATGTACCTGAACTTGACTGATTTCAACCTCTTGCCAAGATCTTCCACATGTTGCCTGTATGGAATAAGCTTGACATCCCGAGTTTCCCATTCTCCCCGAGCTTGTCGGATAATCAGATCCGGATCTCCCATGATTATCAATTCTTCCACATCTTGGTCGATTTCCATATTCATACCCATAATGCAGGCTTCATACTCGGCAGTGTTGTTTGTGCAAAAAAACCGAAGCCGGGCTGTGGCTGGATAGTGTTGACCAGTGGGTGAGATCAAATTTGCCCCAATCCTGACACCTTTTGCGTTCACAGCTCCATCGGAGAACATTTTCCAAGCATTGGTGTCTTCTGCTGTTACCTCAGCTGAATTCACCTCCTCGTCCGGGAACTAAGTACTCAAAGGCTGATATTCATCATCAACAGGGTTTTCAGCTAGGTGATCTGCTAAAGCTTGGGCTTTCATTGCCGTGCGGGTGACATAGACTATGTCGAATTCAGTGAGCAAGATTTGCCATTTTGCTAACCTCCCTGTGGGCATCGGCTTTTGGAATATATACTTCAAAGGGTCCAGCCTGGTGATGAGATAAGTGGTATAGGCCAAAAGGTAATGCCTAAGCTTCTGAGCGACCCAAGTTAGGGCACAACAAGTCCTTTCCAACAAAGTATATTTGGCTTCGTAGCTAGTGAACTTTTTGTTCAGATAGTATACTGCCTGCTCCTTCTTCCCGGTTACATCATGTTGCCCGAGGACACATCCGAAGGAATTCTCCAAGACTGTCAAATACAAAAACAAAGGCCTCCCAGGTTTAGGTGGGACCAAGACTGGCGGATTCGACAGATATTCTTTGATTTTGTCAAAGGCTTCTTGACACTCATCCGTCCATTTAATTGCCGCATCTTTCTTTAACAGCTTAAATATGGGCTCACATGTGGATGTCAACTGAGCAATGAAACGGCTGATGTAATTCAACCTTCCAGGAGGCTCATAACCTCCTTCTTGGTTCTCGGAGGAGGCAAATCCCAAATAGACTTTATCTTTGTTGGATCTAGCTCGATGCCCCTCCGACTGACTACAAATCCCAAGAGTTTGCCAGACGGAACCCCAAATGCACATTTAGCCGGATTTAGCTTGAAGTCATACTTACGCAGCCGCTCAAAGAACTTTCTCAGGTCCCGAACATGGTCGTCCTGTGTTCTAGATTTGATGATCACAACGTCCACATACATCTCAATTTCTTGGTGCATCATGTCGTGAAATATGGCAGTAATAGCTCTCATATAAGTTGCTCGGGCATTCTTTAAACCAAAAGGCATGACCCTGTAACAATAGGTGCCCCGGGGTGTGGTGAAGGCTGTCTTTTCCGCGTCTTCTTCATCCATCAAGACCTGATGATATCCAGCATAACAATTCACGAAAGATTGTACCTCATGTTTGGCATAGTTGTCAACAAGGATGTGGATGTTCGGCAAAGGGAAGTTGTCTTTCGGACTGGCTTTGTTCAGATCCCGATAGTCAACACACACTCGAGTTTTCACATGTTTCTTTGGCACGGGAACCACATTAGCCAGCCATGTGGTGTATCGGACTACTCAGATCACCCCCGCCTTCAACTGTTTGGTGACCTCTTCTTTGATCTTTTCACTGATATCAGTTTTGAACTTCCCCTGTTTTTGCTGGACAGGGGGATAATCGGGGTAAGTCGGCAACTTGTGGACCGCCAAATCGACACTTAATCCTGGCATATCATCTTAGGACCAAGCAAACACATCTTTGAACTCGAACAAAAGTTGGATCAATGCATCCCTAGTTCTTTCATCCGTGTGAATGCTTATAATGGCTTCTTGGACCTCTTCTGAACTACCCAAATTAACCGGCTCGGTTTCATTTAAGTTTGGGTTAGGTTTATTCTCGAATTGTTCCAATTCTCGGTTATTTCCCTAAAAGCCTCTTCTTCATCATATTCAAGTTATTGATTCATTATTTCACAATTAGACAGCGTGCTATGATCTGGGCGTGAAGTCCGCAAGCATGTCATGTTATTTAAGTCCGCATTATTATAACTGAAAGGAAGAAATAAGAAAAGTAACAAAAACCAGAAAGAATAAAGAGAGAGATTCATGAACGATGAAATATTGATTTCATTTCATTGAATTTCGAAGATATCAGGGTTTACATTGGATTTTTAAGGACAATAAACTAAAAGAAACATTCGAGATACACCCTGGAATAACTCGGAATGCAGAAAAGGTGGCAAGACTGGACTACCGGGATTCCCGACTGACTGGGAACGGAGTAGCCTTCCAATTTTGCAGCTTGGCGTCGGGCCCCATAAATTGCACCTCAGCAGTGCTCGAGCCTTCACTAGGCTGGACCATGTGAGCTTCATAAAACATTTGCCTCATGGCTCCACATATGTCCTCAATTTCCTCGGCCGTGAAGGCCTCATCTTCTTCTTCTTTTGCGTACTTGGGCTTGACGAATGTTTTGTAGAGATGCGGGACTGGCTGAGGTAGAACCCAACCATTTCTCTTTCGTTCATTTGCCCATGTCATATCAGTTTCTGTGATGTGAAAACTCACACCGAAGAACTTCTCGCTGGCAGCTAAAGTGATAGGTTCTGTGATACTTTGCAATGATGCCCTGAGTCCCTTCCAAGGCTTATAACCATGCTTGATCATTTCAGTAGCGACCATGATGGACGCATTTGACAGAAAGGGCTGAGGACACGGGCTTCCCTCTTCACATTGATCTACGACCACCACCTCGAAAGCTTGATAGACTACATGCTCGCTACCTTCCCTAGCTTCGAGACATGGGACTGACGGGTCCCGGTAAATTGACTGCTCGTCTTCTCCATGAACCACAATTTCCTGATCTTCGTGTTCAAACTTCACCATTTGATGGAGGGTATAAGGTACGGCCCCCACAACGTGGATCCAAGGCCTTCCTAAGAGAAAATTATAGGAGGTATCCATGTCCAGGACCTGAAATGTCACCTCGAAATCCACAGGACCGATAGTCAAAATCAAATCGATCTCGCCTATGGTGTCTCTCTTGATGCTGATAACTAGGGATTTTGACGTGTTTTATGCTCCTTCTTTCTTACGCTTTAATTATAAATTGTTACAAAATAGTTCCAAGAGGCTCATAAGTTGTGCTTGATTGCAGGTTTAATCGACAAAGTGAGGAAATGTCAAAGATCGGCTCAAAAGGAGTGAAACCTGCTCTAGTACCTAAAACAAGGCAAAACTCTGGAAAACAGGCCTAGTGCGGCCGCACTACTCTTTACGCGGTCCGCACTAGAGAGATTCAGAGAGTCAAAAATCAAGGCTTCAAGCAACGCGGTCGCACTCTATTAGGTGCGGTCTGCGGTGAAGGCTCCACGGCCGCACTACCATTATGTGCGGTCCGCGGAAGAGAAGTTCAGAGAGGTGAAAATTGCCATGGTTCAAGCTGCGCGGTCCGCGGTCATATTTGTGCGGAACGCATTAGAGACCTCTGCGGCCGCAGTCCATTCTGCATGGTCCACGGAGCCTGAGTTCAGAGAGCTAAAGACTTCAAGACCAAGAGCCTAGTGCGGCCGCAGTCCATTTTGTGCGGCCCGCACTAACCCCGCAGGGTTATTTTTGTCTAGTTTTTCAAGCTTAGTATAAATAGAACCTTTTCCCATTTTTAAGGCAAGCAGTTATTTTATTTTAGCAGCTGCGCTCGTGAGAACATCATCTGTAGCCATTTTTGGCATCTTAGCTTAACTCTAACGATAGATTCTCTGTATTTTCTTTAGTGTTTAATTAATATGTCTTTTTCTTCATCTATTTCTCTATTTTCTTGTTCAAGCATGAGTAGCTAAACCCATTAGCTAGGGTTGTGGCTCAACCCTAGTGTGGGTAATTGATGGGTATTGTGATTTAAGGTCAGATTGACTATGGGTGTTTGTATTTGGGTCAATTTTATGGTTTAATTTATGAATTGGTGGTTGCAAACACTAGTTTGTGCTAAGTTGACTTGGCTCTTCTTGAGAGAGAGAGCCTAAGTCTCCAAAATTGACCCAACAAGGAATTGGGATGGACTCAAGAGAATTGATAGTCCCAATTAAAGGGTTAAACCTCGAGAGAGTAATTACCCGACTTGAACCCTAGTTGCTTGAGCTACTACCCATTTGGTCTCGAGAGAGTCAATTGGGAAAAATCACTCTCTCTACCGAGAGGTGTGAGAGTGGGTAAAATTGTGCAACGGTTATACATATTTCCCCAATCATGTCAATCAAGCCTTAGAAGCAATTACCCGTCAATTAGCCACCTAGGTGAAAGTCACTACCCTAGTGCACCTTAATCTATTAGATATAACTCTTAACAATTATCTCTTAGCGTAATCTAGTTTCAATTCTAATTAGTAGTTTTATAATAGTAGTTTATAAAAGAAAACCCAAAAATGTTAGAAGTGACATTTGGAACAATTACACGATTCTAGACTAGATAGATACTCAACTCCAATCCTAGCTCTCTATGGATTTGATCCCGACCCAAAATCGGGTAAAAGCTATTGCGACCCTCTCTTCCTACTTTGTAGTAGTGTGGAGTTGGTAGCGATCAACTTTTTGGCGCCGTTGCCGGGGAGCTAACGGTTTTGGCTATCTATTTAGTTAGTTTTGTGTGTTGTTCTTCTTTCCTTCCTTATTACTAATTTGTGTGTGTGATTACTACAGGTACCCAATGGCATTAAATGCTAATGACCCTCTTGGAAATGTGCTTGCGGGGGAGGAGGTAGATGAAATTGGAGTGGATGAGGTGCCTCTTGTACCTCCCGGACCAAGACGAGGCCGCCAGGCCAATGCTAATGATAATGTTCCAGACCCTCCTCCGCCACCTCCAACAGTGGCTCCCAGAGTATTACCAAACCAAGGATATGCAAGTGCTATTATCCCACCCAGAATCCGGGCGGGCAATTTTCAGATAACTAATGTGATGTTGACCTTACTTGAGCAGCGTGGGTATTTCACGGGCGCTGCGGATCAAAATGCCTACAAACATCTAAAAGGGTTCGTGGATACATGTTGGGGTAGCAAGCGGACGAATGTGTCCGAAGATGCTCTTAGGTTGAGACTTTTCCCGTTCTCACTCCGGGGAAAGGCATTGGATTGGCTAGAGAGACTCCCCAACCATTCATTCACAACTTGGGATGAGTTGGCGGATAAATTTATTGCTAAATTTTTCTCACCCGGGCACATGGCGGCACTTCGAGATGAGATATTGGCTTTCAAGCAAGAACCCACGGAACCTTTGCATGAGATTTGGGAGCGGTTTAGAACAATGGTGAAAGAATGCCCAAACAACGATATGACCGAGGCGATGATTCAACAAACCTTCTACCGGGGCATCAATACTACAAATCAATGCATAGTCAATAAATTGGCCGGGGGTAATTTCATGAAGTTGTCTTATGACGAAGCTTGCGAGATTCTTGATGAAATGGCGGATACATCCTCCGCATGGCAAAGTAGAGCGAATGTTCCCCAAGGTGACCCCATGGTCATCCATTTGCACAAGGAATTACATGACCATGGACAGGCTATAGCGGAGTTGACAACTACTATGAATCAATTGGCTAAGTCACAGTTGCAACAAGTCCAAAACCCTCACCAAGTGAATGCTATGGAAGGTGTGAGTATGCTTATCAACAAGATAAGGCAAAGAAGGCAACAAAACCAAGGGAATTCCGAGCAATTTGATGATGATTGTGATGGATTTCAAAATGATGTCTATGATGAGCAAAATGAAGAGGTACAATATGTTAACAACTATCAAGGCAATAGAGGCAACTCTTCAAACCAACAATGGCGACCCCAAGGTAATTGGGGCAATCAACAATAAAGTGGTGGTAATTGGAACAATAACAACCAAGGCGGTAATTGGGGGAACAACAATCAAGGCAACCAAGGGCATTGGAATGGTAATAACAACAATTGGAACAACAATGATCAAGGCAATTGGAACAACAATGGAAACCAAGGCAATCGGGGGCCAGGCTTTCAAAGGCCCCCAATGTACCAACAACCGAACAATCCACCCCCATTCCCTTCTCAAGGATCTAGTTCTTCAGGTAATAATATGGGAAGAATAGAAATGATGTTCAAACGAATGATGAAGAAGAATCAAGATTCCGATGCTCAATTAGCTTCCCACAATACCTCTATCCGGAATTTGGAGGTGCAATTAGGCCAAATCTCTCAATCGTTGAATACTCGCCCTAAGGGTGCTCTACCAAGTGATACGGTAGTGAATCCAAAAGGTGGGAACAATCATGTGATGGCGGTTACAACACGAAGTGGGAGAGGCGGTGATGTGCATGCCTCGAAAGATAAGCAAGTTGTGGATGATGATGTTGAGTTGCAAGAAAATGATGTTCCTTTGGTAGTTGAAAATGTGGTTGATGATAATGTGAACAATGAAGTGAGGATTGACATTAATGAAGCCAAGGTGGAAACTCAAGAGGCCGTGAACCCGTCTAGGGAGCACATAATTGACATGCCNATAAAGCATTCTCTGCGGATTCTTTTCTCATGAACTCTACGTAAGCTGACCTGTTTATGTTATATGTTTAGACTTTAGCACTCAATAATTTCAGATAAAAGTCTGATAAAAATGATGAAAACAATAACTGACCCTTTGGGTTGCCCAGTTGCTGCATCAGTCAGGATGACCACTTTAAGCACTTCCCCAAATTTATTGAAGTGCCGAGAAAGACTATCCTTTGTAGCAGCAAAATGAACCTAAAACAAAGGAGACAAAATAAATACTTTTCAGCAATTAAGCAAGGATATATCTAGTGAATAAGCACCCACAGTTAATTGACAGAAACTTACATTGTTGACAAAGATGGTCCGTGAATCAGCATCTTCTGTAGGTGGACCAGTAGAATACAAACCTGACATACCAGAAAATGACCTACACATAAGATAAAGAAACAAAGATGGCACTAGGGCATTGCAGAAAGGGAGTACTAAACATATATTAACGCAGTAATAGAGCAATTGATAGTACTTCACCTCACACATAAGTTAGAGTATTACACGGCACGCACAACACATAATGAAAGCAATAAACTCTAAACCCAATCCTAATATTAGATTGACAATGCCCTAATTAATCTTATTCTTTATCTAAAAATAATTTCAGTATGCTTTTGCCATGCCTAGAAAGTAGAAACACACAGAAGTAGAGATGATCAAACTCACCCTGATAAATAGAAGCCATCTTTTGAGATTCCTTCTGTGTGTCCGCATATGGTTTCACCTAGCAAAGAGCATATTGTTTAAGTATTTTCTAAAGACTACAAAGATTCAACCATAATGATTCATAACAGATTATAGATGTTTACATTTCCATTAGTAACTGCAATAGGATTAGTGCTTTCTTTTGTCAACAGCATGTCAGGTTCGCTGGCCAAGCCTTCGCTGCTCTGTGTAGATCTCTGATTCTCTATCTCCAATGCTTGTCTTGCCTCCTGATACTGAGGTGATTTCCAGGTATTCACATTTAATGGAACATTCATTGGCTGGTGAGGAGCACCAGGAGCAAATGTTGGTCGATCTTGGTCCTTCTGTGACTTGTGCAAAATATCATTGGCATTGTCAGTAACACCATACTCGACTACAAGTGGAGTCTCGCCTATGTTTTTAAAACGTGCACCAGTTCTCGAGGCATTTATAGCCCCTTTATTCACAATGCTGATACCATGATCAGCTTCTTCATCTAATGCTGAATCATAAAGCACTGCAGTATCATCGTTCAACGTAGACTTCCCAATATGCTTTCCTCTATAATTACTTCTGTGAAGGTAAGTTGAGGCATCAGCAAAAGATTGATCTTGTACATCTTCGGCAACAGCTTGATTAGATTCTTCCAATCTGCTTGAAGGATCGAGAGCGCCAGTAGCACGACCCAGCCTGTCAAACACATTAGCCGACGATCTAACTTTTGCCACATCTTTTGCAGCTTCTGCAACGGCTCTTATAGCGGTGGCCATGGCATTTGGTGCTCTTGCAACCGAACGTATCCTCTGTGGGCGTTCTTGAAGGGATGAGTCCTCCACAGATGTAGAGACCACAGAGCGAAGACGCTTTAGTGAAGGTGAGGATTCTAGATTGGAATTGGATGGCCTAGAAGTAGCCACGGCATCTCTTACTGCAAATTGCAGCAGCCTTCGAGTAGCAGCAATTGCTGGTTGACGAATGCCTTCCCTCTATCAAAAGCAAATAATTTAATCAAAGAGATTACCTGAAGTAGCGATTTGAAAATAAAAATTCGAGAGGACTACTCAAAGCAAGTTCAACCCATCAACAATCCAATCCAAAATTATCATATGATTGGAAATCTTGGTTCTCCCAACTAGCACCACCCAACCGCAAAACAAAAGGATACAACAATTGCTAAGAAGGAGCGAAGATGAAGATTGTGAATCCCCTTTGCAAGTTGCTAGAGAAAGATGCTAAGTTTGTATTTGATGAGAAATGTATGAAGGCTTTTGAATTTCTAAAGAATAAGTTGACAACTACCCCGATCATTACCGCACCCAATTGGAGCTTGCCTTTCGAGCTCATGTGCGACGCGAGTGGTGTTGCGGTTGGGGCAGTTTTGGGTCAAAGAGTGAACAAATGTTTCATCCAGTGTACTATGAAAGCAAGACTATGAATGAGGCTCAAAGGACTACACGGTGACGGAGAAGGAATTGTTGGCTATTGTGTTCGCCATGGAAA